TGTGTGTACTCTTATTAAAAAGGGCAATTAAAACGTGCAACACATTTTTGAAACCCTTCTAAGGAGGAAAAAAAACTGTATTTTAGCAGAACGTTAAATAACTAATCAACAAGCATTGCCTTTTTTAAAAAAAATCTTGCTTCGAGTGGAAATATTAATCAGGTTCTTTTTTCAGACTGAAATCTGCTATTGAACCGTCCGTCACCTAMGAGTTTCAGATCTTACATACTTTAGTCTGAGCTGTAAACATAAAGTCCTGTTTGAAAAAAAAAACACTGAGAAAAAAAAACCCTAAAAACWATTTTTTCAGCTGTTTATAAGTCTGAGAATTGTCTGGTAGTCAAGTGTAAATATAGCAAAATAAGWAAGAAAATAAACACCTGGCATTTCTGTAAATACCCGCTACCTTTCATGTCAGTACTTCAGTCTACAATCATCTTATGTTGAGAAATGACACTGTACATGGATAGCCTTTTCTGTCCAACTTAACAAGCATGTATAATCTCATTATGTGCATTATCTTTATTAGCACTGGAGAATGACATTCAGCTTGTACTGCATCACATTTTAGCTCAATATTTGTAAAACTATTGATTTTAGCCATTTATGTGAAATCTAAGGTCAGATGGCTGTGCCAACCATCTTTTTTCAAATGTTTAATAGTTAATAGCACATCAAATGATTATTTTCTGAGAGTTTCAAGAAAATTTGTCCATTCATTCATGAAGTGTTTTGCTAACAGACAAATAGCGCTGACTGTATTATTTAATGGTGGCTTAATGGCAAAGTTTCAAACAAAGAGGACACAGGTAGAAATTATGATCATTTATTCACCGATGCGTCTTCAGCTCGTTTATACTCTGTCAAAAAAAAGACGTCCGAAATAATGTAGTCACCGATCCACTGTCTCCCATTGTATGACTCTCGCTAATACACTGCCAAATTTTAACTCAATTTGTGTAAAACTGACTGAGTTAGAACCAGTTCTGTGTTTGGAAAGGTTGATTAGCTTTGGCAGCCATCTTGAACAAAGGTAATACCAAAACGTAATCAGTTGTAGAAGTATATCCAATGATTACTTTTGGAGAGTTAAAAACATCCATTGACGAGAGATATTTTGCTAACAAACGTGCACACACATAAACACACACACAGGCAAAATCATTATTGTCGAGCCTTTTGGCAGCAGGTGATCAACAACAATAAAGGCTTATAATTTGAATGTTTGCACACTTTCAGATAATAAATTTATTCRTTTCCCATTTCTTTAAGAATAAACATTCTCAAATGGTCACAGCTGCATTTTCGTTTGGCTGCAGAACTTAAAGGTTGTGTCTTTTTCCCCACATGCTACACTCTAAGCTCATACATTGCATAAAAAAGTTGCAAGCTCAGGGATGCAGGAAAAGGCCACAGACAGAGGAGACAAAGAGAGATGTAAACATCACCACGTTAACCCACACAAGGCGGTGGCAGGGGAACACGCACATAAGCCCCTGCAAAGGCAAACCTGCGACACGCGCTGATCTAGGTGGAAGAAGACACGCTCACTCAGGCACTTCATTAGTTGGAGCATTARCAGCCGCCGCTCCCGTTCTCGTCTCGGCGAGGGGCTAAATCGTGGGGACGCAGAGTGTTACCAAACGCAGCGGTGATTTGTTTGGGAACGCCACGGCTGTCAGCTCTCGTGGGCCACTCTGAGAGATGACAGCTCGGGTTGGCCAAGGTGACAGCAGCGTTTGCTCGGGGGCCGGCACACTTCAGGTCATGTTTAGCAAAGCTCTGCTCAACCTGATGGCTTGTAAGATCAGATAAATCCACAGCGTCTTCCACGTCCACTCGGACAAACACACCTTCTGTGAACAGCAGCGGACAAGCCGATGGAGTGATTGTGACAGCTTCTTTGCTTTAGTAAAAAAAAAAAAAAAAGAAAAGAAAAGCTATCAGAAATCATTTCACTTTTATTGGGGTCTCTTTAAGTTCTGGGAAAAAAAACTTAAACGAAAAAAATGTTGGCTGTAACCGCAGAATAAATGTGTCCCTCAGAGTCTCAAAACGCAAACGTTTTTATCCTTTGGCTTACTTTAAAAAAATAAAATAAAAATCTGTTTGCAGTCTAACCTTGAGATATTTTTTTCTTTTCCTTTTTGTTATGCTGTAATAGAGGCATTGAAAAGTGTTCACCTTTCACCTTAGGAGACAAACCGAGAGGCTTTAAACACACAGCGGCTGCACTCCTCCTCTCTGCTCCTCTTCTCTCAGGGCCACTCGCACATTCATTTGTAAAGACTGCTGTATATGACTGGCTCTCTCTCTCTCTGAGCCACATAAAACACAAAAGGAGTCATTTATTCACACAGACACTTTCCTTCTTTTCCTATTCCTCATTTTTTTCCCAGTCAGCAGGGGATGGATGGTGTTATAAAGGCTGGGTGTACGGCACGGGCTGGTCGGGATGAGATTTCTATCAGTCGATAACTCATGAGAGGCAGAGAAAGATGGACAGGTTTGCGTCTAGGCTGTCATCAATAAAATGTTGAACTTAAAGTCTGTACAGTTGTTTTGATTCTTTTTTACAGTTTTTAAAATATCACATTCACTAACAAGCTATTAAACCCATGGTGAACTTTAACTGCAGTCAAATGAATGCATGCAAAAAAAAAAAACATTAGGTTTCTTCAACACAAAAATCCACAAACCTTTGGGATTAACAGTTAATTATCAGTGATTTTTTTTTATTCCACACTAATGTAATTTAGGTGAAATGAGTTTCATTCAAAGCTCTCGAAGCATCAAAATATTTATTCTAAAGAATAAAGTTGCAGTAGTCAAGACTGCAGCGTCTGTAAAAGGAATTTCTTGCTCTTCTTTTTCATAAACAATAAAAAATCAAATATTTTGAGTTCTGGAATGTTAGTTGGATGACAAAAAAAAAAAGTTTAAATCAATGCAAGAGCTACCGTATCTTTGTAAAAGAAAAACTTGATGAAAATGACTATTTCGTGCAGCTATGAGGAGAAAGTAACTTTATGAAACAACAAATTGAAAGTAACTTGATTTTTTTGAGTGTTTGAAAGAGACCGTCTGCAACCACCACACCAAATTTTAGCTCGACAGCTGTAAAATTGACCAAGTTATAGTAATTTTTGCGTTTGCTATGGCTGAGTAGAAATGGCGGCCATATTGAATCAGGTTGACTCGAAAAGTTAATCAGCAGCAGATGTACATCCAGTGAAGGTTGGACTTCTGAAGGTTTCATCAAAATCTGTTCACTGGTTCTTGAGAGATTTGCTAAAAGACTGACAAACACACACAAATATTCCCATCATTTACGGTGACAGGTCACAAAAGGTTTACTGTAATAGAGTGAAGATGAAATACAGTTGTTATTCTTGTACAAATTACTGTTCATTTAAAAATATCATGTGACAATACTGCAAAATAAATAAACTCTCATCTCTGTGTAACTGAGAGTTAAAGTAAATTTGGGTCATTTTTAACTTTGACCAGGTTCTTCCGTTCATTTTGATCCTTAAATGGAAACTAACCATCCATTATCAGAAATATTTTGTGATTTGTGGCCTAATTAAACAGCTTTTGGTTCAGCCATGAATTTTCAATTTCGTTGTAACAAAAGTACAAACACAAAAGAAACAAATATGCTTGGAATGTACCAGGAAGCCTAACAACTGTTATGTACCAGGTGCATTTCATTTAAGTACCAGGTAACTAAATACCAGGTACAATCCCAATTACTACCAGGTATGTACACTGTAAGTACCCGGTACCTACCCATCAAGTATCTTATACCAACTGCATATGTACCAGTACTATTTTAAGTACTAGGCACTATATGTTCCCTGTAAGTACAAAATACCTGCTCAGTAAGTAGTGGCTGCTTACCCAGTAAGTACCAGGTACCAAGTGTGTCTGCATCAGTACTACTGTAGGTACCAGGTACTGTATGTTCCATTACCAGATGTCTACCAAGTAATTATCAAGTCCTAACTGGGTCTGTACCACATACATTTCTTGTACGTACCAGGTACTGGCTTGGTAGTACTAGATCCGCACCCATTAATTACAGGTGTGTAACAGGTTGCATTATATATTGCTACTGATCTTTTTATTTTTTTAAATTGAGTACAGAGAACTGATCCTTCTAGGGTCAAACATTTGCAGTATTGTTAGTATTCATTAACTCCAGCTCCAGTTTGGTGAGATAGGAACATCAAAACTCCACTTATACAGTGTGTTTTACTGCAATAAGGACTGTAAGAGACATGGATTTTAAATCCAGTATCTTTTTCTGAAACCAATGGATAAAAAAAAACAAAATACAAAATAAAAACCAGCAGATCGATTTACCTGTCTGCTCCTTTACCAGCAGTTTCAGGTTTACAGCAATATAGTTATCGACCCTAAAATACTTTTTAGAAAATCTCTCTTATAGGAAGTTTGTGTTCACATCAGAGAGCAAAATATTACATGTCAGCCCTTTCTGCTGTAAGAAGGAGCAGTGATGGCAATGTGTGTGACCAGGCTGGAGAAAACTCAGTCCTCTTGTTTCAGTGAGTGAACCCACATGTGCATACTTTCATTTTAAAAATGTGGAACTCTTATAGCTCATGTCTAAAGAGTTGATTTTTTGTAACAAAACACCTTTCACGAGATTACAGAGCAAGTCCTCTCTCAATAATTCAACGCATTATTCATCATCTCCATCAGTAAAATCGCACACTTTAACCTCCATCCGGGCAACTTTCGCTCACGTTACAGATCACAAACTACAATTTTTTTGCAGGTTGTGAACCC